TTTGGTATCATCACAACGTTTTTTAATTTGATTGTTATTTGTAGTAGCTTTTGTTGTTGATCTAGTTGATATTGAAGAGAATGCTTTTGGAAGAACAGCTGGATGCGAAACCGATTTTGCTCCGCCACAATACAGTACTAATTTATAAACATAAGCAGAAACACCACAACGAACCCAAAATTTGAATCCTCGCTTTGTTGGTTTGTTTGGCATATACTGACGTAATGACTTAGGAGCAGTTGTTCCTTTATAGCCAACCATTTGTTCATCAAGTGATATGTTTTTTTCTTGTTCTACTATATATGAGCAACCTTCATTGAATAAATCTATTAATGGTTGAATTTTATTGACTTTTGATGAATTGAGAACATTATCATTGAAATGTAATGTACACAACAATTCTGAAATTCTGTTACGAGTTATATTAGTCGTAATTAATGCTTGTTGATATAGTTGTGACCAATAATCTGATTTTGATGATAAACGTACGACGGATGCGTAAAAAAGAAATCCAAGTAATTGAAAAAACTCACGTTCTGTCATTGGTTCTTGTTTTAGATTCATTTGTGTTCGATAAAGATTTGATTGATCGACGATATATGTTACAATACTGGGTGATAAAAACAAACGAAAATAATCGATTGGTGATGTCAATGTAGCTGAGGAAATGTTTTTGTTTAAACCAAATTGACCATCAAATGTTGGTAAATTAGGTTCAATATTCCATTTATTCCACTTCAAATTATTCAATTTCGGTTCATCCTCTTCTTCCTCATTATCACTATCCCAGCTATCATCGCTTAATTCCTCAGAATTAGATTCAGCTTCATCATCACTATTGGTATCTGATATATTTGATATGGATTCGTATTCGCCATTTCCATCAAGACTATTATCAGATGAGGTGTTTGATGTCATAATTGTTGACTAGTATATCTGAAATAAAAAAACAAACGAAATGAATAAATAATCAATAATTGAATAAAACTACACATATGCATGCAATACATATATGGATAAATTTCTCTTTTGCGAAAAAATCATATAATCATGGAACAACCATTGTTTCACAATGGAAATAATTACGTTCTGTTAGTATCAAATAAATATATTCAAATTTTAAACACAGACGTATCTATGGCTCATACAGAAATATTATGACAAAAGGAGAAAAAAAGGATAAGACGAAGATTATTTAAACTATATGTAAAGGATAATGAACTCTGCGCCTATTGCCTCTCATATTCACATTCACTCTTTTCATTCATACCATATCCCTCTCATATTGTTCATTTTTCAATCAGCCGCATTCTTTGTCTCTCTCATTATTCATTACATATCGTCTCTCATTGTGTGTATATTAAGTCACTCTCTGTTTTTGTGTTAAATATCTCTCTCTCATTCTGAATATTACCATCACTCTCCTTTTGTCTTCTGCACTATATATATATTCGTTGTACAGCACTTACATTGGAGTCCATTGTATAATAAACTCAGTAAATGATAGAATTACTTATTTTTGTTTTTGACAATCTTTTATTTGGCGCTTTTAAATATATTACATTTTCATATCGTTCGCGACCAATGGGTCATGGATGACCCATTTACTTGTAAGCACTTCTCAGAAAATTCGTACGTCATAAGAACAGCCCGTTCTATTTGCTTGCAAAGGCAACAGTCTGCTAAACATTAATCGACAATAACATGCTTCTGAAAAGTTCTTGAAAAAAAAATAAAAGCCGAGAAAATTTTTTTTCAACTTTTCAATTTTTTTGAAAATTTTTTATTTTCTGATTGAAATATCTTCACGAAAAGTTGATGGAAAAAAAAATCGTTTTTTATCAATCGATAGCTTTTGGAATTATCTTGCTCTCAAAAGCAATCCATTTTTTCTCACATGCTTCATTATCTTTTTATAACAATTCTACGAATGGGTCATGGAGCCCGGGGTAGGTAAAGGGTTAAGAAGTTAATATGTGCAAATGCGTGAAATCGTTTAATGTATACATTAAAACTATTTTTCGTAAATTTAATACGTTCATAGGTTTTAAGAGCGGCATAAATCAGTTCACAAGAGTTAAAAATTAATTCATGTGAACGCAATTAAGCTTTTTTCAGACGTTTAATACGTTTGAACACATTAAATGAATTGGAAAAACTTTTAACGACTTCGCATATCTTAAAAATTAATGTATGTAGGAGCCTTAACTTTATTAATTTTTACTATCGTTATTGAACAATCGAAAGAAAGTCGTACGTAAGTTTAGTTTAGTTTTTTTACTGAATAAATCTTGTTTCTTGTTCAGTACTAGGGTCACACTACAGCCTTAATCACAATTAAGTTAATCGCGATTAATTCGTAGAGTGTCCGCGACCTTGATCACGACTTTTTTGATCAAGTTTTTTAACCATTACATCGACGAATTCATCAGAAATGCTGATTACGCTATGCTTGGATACCCCAAACAAATTAGCGATCGTACGACACTTGGCTGTTGATGCCATTGCGTATAATGCAATAGCTAATCGTTTAGGTGCTGATATTGCTGGACGCAGTTTTGTGTCTTGCTTTGTCGTATCCATACCGACTGCTGTCAACAAATATCGAAATACTTCTTTACTCACACGGAAATTTTTCTTGAGAGTATCATCATCGAATTTTTGAACCTCGATTTCAAAAAACTCTTTGTTTCTCTGACGTTGCTAAACAGATCGTTCGGCTTTTGTGAAGCAATTCATCAACGGAAGAAATAATAGCAGCATATTGGGGCTCGACACATGTTCTTTTCTGTTTTTTCTTTTTGCTGTAAATACTTTTCTTTGTTTAATAACGTTTAGTAGAGTAACAGTATTCATCGTTCACTTGACTGACAGAAAAGTGAACCAATTTTAGAGCACTTCCCTATTTATTTGCTGTTCTTAATCCCGATCAGCCTTTAATCATGATTAGCACGGTCACATTGCTTATTTAACCGTGATTAAAATAGTGTTAATCATGATTAAAAAAGGATATGGTCACAGTACAAAATCGTTAATCATGATTAATTTTAATCATCATTGATTTTAATCGTGATTAAGGCTGTAGTGTGACCCTAGTGCAAGGTACAAACATCTTGGATTCGAAAACACCATCCCTGCCAAATTTTTTTAACGATTTCTCAAGAAATGTGCGTTTTATGGCACGTTTCTGGCCACTCTAGCGCAGCGCCAGAAAACGCATAGTTCTTCCACGCTGTATTTTTACCACGTAAAAATAAACACGTAAACGACAGCTTTTTGCCTTTTATCGTAGAATTGCTTTTTTTGCGTTATACTGCGTGTGTTGTTTTGAATAAAATTTTTGTAAAATTTTTTGTTTCTGTAGAAAAATGCAGAAGAAATTTGTGTGTGATGTTAAGGCGCAGCTAATTCAAAGACTCCACAACATCTAATTTTCTAGTTTAAGTCACATATTCAGATTCTGCAAGTTTTCTGGATGTCCTCGCCCTTTAGCCTTCGCCGATAGAAGCTTTTTGTACTCAAATTTGGTTGTGGTTGGACCCACTGCTGACGATGGAAATCTTTAAATAATCTTTTAGTCGCCGTCGCCGATTGAACCTTTTCTTTTGGCCGTCGACGGCGACGGCGGAAAGTCTTTTAATGAGGTTCCACCGCCGCCGCTGATAAAAAAGCTTTTGTTACACTCCGCCGCCGATTTTTCGGCCGGCGCATAGGTCCAGTCGCGACTAGTCAGACTTTGGGGACGGGGGGGCCGCACTGCGGTGTGCTTCATTGAGATAAAAATTTTTTTTTCAAAGAACGCAAGGAAATTTTTTTTCTGCTTAGCAAAAGCGAGGATTTTTTATTTTTTGGGGGGTGTCGCACTCCCCCAGTTTTAGGACCAGGTCCAGTTCGAATGATTAAACTTTTTAAAACTGGGACCAATGTACAAAATGGATTACGATCCAGTCTGACTGGGTATTGGACCGAACTATACGGAACCCTGGTATGTGTGTCTCGAGCGTTCCCGTGCCTAGTGTATGAAGAATTTCTTCCGAATTTGTCTTCTGGAACGCGAATTTGACTATTTAATGAGGAAGCTGCACTGCAACTCTAGCCAATCAACTTCGTGAACAAATTGAACTATCAATACGATTTCGGTCATCGATGATGTCATATCCGAACAACCTCAAAAACACATGTACATCGGCATTTTTATACAGAGATTTCAGAAAAAAACTTTCAGAGCTCTTTCAAAACGCAACCAAATTCAACTCAAAAGGTGTTATTCGGGGTCAGCGTGAAACGCTGAATCTGAAGATGTGACTTAAACTAGAAAATTGGATGTTGTGGAATCTTTGAATTAGCTGCGCCTTACACGAGATACGAAAATTTTACTACAGGTTTTTATAAAACAACCGACGCGAAGTTTTGCAATTTTGTGCATTAAATGTCTCTCGAAACTTTGATGCGATCTGAAAGCGCAAGTTTCGACTTCAGGAAGCTCTCTCTCAGAGGAAAACGAATCAGTTCTAAGGATAAGCTATACGGAAGCTATAGTCCGCGTGTAAGTTCTGATAACCGAACACTTTTAGACTTCTTTCTACTCTAGTAGAAAAGAAAGGTTAGATAGTAAAAATATAAAATTCATATTAAAAAAAGAAATTGTGGCTAGATTTCGTTGGATTGGTAAAAAAATTGGCATCATTGAAGGTGATTATGATTTTGATGAACAATCACAACAACAAGTTACGATGCAGGATGAAATCAGCGAGACAACAACTTATACCTATGATGCCAGCAATAATACAAAGGTCAGGATTGAATCAAAAATATAGGTCAGGATTGAATCTCCCGGTTCTGCAGTCAAATCATCGTGACAAGCTAAAACAATGCGTCAATTGATCCAACTGCGAAAGTCTCGTGGCAAACCAACGGACATATACGGTTAGTATTCAAAACTTATATTTACCATGCAGATATAAGGTTTTATTTCAAAAACAATTATACATCTTTCATTCAAGTAATAGAATTATTTTATACTGTGTCATTCTGACTGAATTCCTGATCATCATCTTTATATGAAAAGAGAAAAAATGTAAATATTATCATCAATTAAACAACAAGTATTAAATGATGACGCATTAAAAGCACCTTGACCGATGATGGTGAAAGTGCAAATATACTTCATACACACTACTCTGCCTTTTCTTTTTCTAGAAAGTAAAAACGACCAGCACATATTTTAGGCTTTTTCACGGTGATAGAGAGAAAAATGAAATTCTCTTCTCATAAATGACAAACATTTTTTATTAAATTTAATATATAAAGGCATGAGATATTTGAAAGAAAGGTACAATACTACCATATTTAGTTATAATAACAGGTAAGCGTCAAGCATTTACTCATAAACTTTCGCTACTTTTTATTTCTCATTAGTGCATACAACAATAATGAAAGTTTTAATTGCATTATGTGAAGAACATATGAAGAATCATTCCCCTATGCTTTCTACGGGAAATTTCGTGAAATTCCACAATCGCCTGCTGTGAACCCTCTAGCGCTTCGAACAATCTTCTGCTTTGAATCTGAATCGTTGAATAGGTTCTCTCACCGACCAGAATGAGATGAGGATTTCGTATGTTAGCCAAATATCTCATAGGTGATGCTCGTTTCCAAACGCGTGGGTCCATCGAAAACACCTGCACAAACGTGTTGTAATACTTATCATCGGTAGGAGACGCCTGGCTCAGGTATTCGTACATATCCAAACCGAATGCATCGAGCAGAATGATACCATAAATTGGATTTGAAACATGATATGTAGCGAAGAACCGAGGATCGTCATTGATCAGTTCTATCAAATGTCCGCCAGCCGAATGACCCATAAGAAATATTCGATTTGGATTACCACCGTAATTGAATATATACTGTCTCACCCACATGACGGCTGCAGCACAATCCTGCGCAATTCTGTAAATTTGATTCGGTGCTAAGCTGTAATTAATGATGACAGCAACTAACCCTTTGCGAACAAAGTTTCGACCCAGCCATTGGTATATTTCTTTGCTGCCGTTTTGCCATGCACCACCGTGAACAAATACGATGACATCTTTGAATGAACCTTTGTTGGAATAATAAACATCTAGTCTATTTCGTTCATTATGCGTATCAGTGGTGTAGCTGATATCATTGTCTTTATGCACCATTTTTCCTACGTGAAGCAATTCTTTCTGTTGAACACACAAATCTGCAAACAGGGTATACAATGATAGTCGATGAAATCACACGAGACTCATGATACATAGGTTTGACTTTGTCATGCAAGCAAAAAAATGATGATTGAGACAAACAAACGATACGTAACAGAAAAGAATGCACAGGTGTATTTTACGCCCACGTGGTGACACATGGTCACGTAATGTCTACTCTAGAAACAAAGATAATCAAAAACCCAGGTGAGTAACTTTCACTCTCGCTGCAGGACGATATACAGTGGCGACACAAAACTTTCCATACAACTCATAATCCATTAAGGAAAAGAGCTTCTGACAAGCGCCGGATCGACTAATGTTTCCATAATAACAACATCGACTGATTTGAAGTTTGCACGCGCTCTGTTGACTGTAAAGTCTTCATCGTTACTGTAGCGAGTTAACATAAGACACAGAACAAGTGTTGATTAGAATCTTGAATCGATTAGAAGTGTTGAATTAGCATCTGTTGATAGAAGAGCAGAAACGATCGATCGAAGCCATTACAATAAACCACGGGGACAAATTGAAGCACACATAACTTAAATAATGCATCAATCTGCAAGCAACTAAACTTTTGTTCGCTATATCGATGATAAAGCCAAATTGGTTCAATCAACCAAATTGGAAGCATGAAGGCACAGTAGATAACAATGTCGACCACAGATGAGGCAAGAAAATACATGAAGCACGGCGATATTCGAAAACATGGACGAGTGAAGATGATCAGGTTGAACGAACTACCGATTGTGCCGATTGTAATAATGAATGATAAAATGTAGAGGGAAAGATGAGCATATGTGATGGATAATCTATCAACAGATGCTAATGAATTGTTCATTCTGACTTGTTTTCTGAGATGTGTGCAAATCTGAATAGAGTTTGCGAAGTAGATGGCATGACAACAGAGTCGTAATTTGAGAGGGAGGAGCACAGTCCACTCAAAACAAAAATGCATCGTTTCATCCGGGCGGAAATTAATAAAGTTTTCGTTTTGGTTGCACGGTGAAAACGTTGATTTCTTATTTACGGTTCGAGGAGTAAACAACTAAAGGATATACTCAGTCATCTACAGGTATAACTTTTTCATAACTAAAAAGATCTCGGGACAAACCCTGTACCTTCTCCAATTTCTGTAAAAACGTTATATTCAAACGACTTTGCGTCATTGCAAAACGAGCACAAGACAGCCACCACGACCAATATCTATTAGAGAAATCTATATGTTCGTTCTCTCCACGAACAAAAACTGCTACCAGCGCACAAAAGGACCTGAAAATCAAATGTTTTAACCAAGTGTCAAGTTGAAATCTAAGTGAGGCTGAACCTGATTGCCAGTGTTAACTAAACAATGTCGAGAATATTTTCTGTTCAAAGGGATTTCGTGAGCCTTTTTGCCATGCTAACTTGGATTGTTTGCAAACGTTTTCAGGTTGAAGAAAAACGGTTAAACATTTTGTCGAAAGGATTTGGACCCCGCTATGTTTCGCTCGAAGACTGTGAAACGGAACAAAATCTGACTTTTGTTTTCGCTCGGTGGTGCATAGCTAATATCTACTCGGTTACTGCATCGATGAACTATCTGGCTCAAGTTTTGTCACAAACGATTAGTGTTCTGAAGATATTTTAGTTTTATAAAAGTAATTTTAGATAAAAGAAATAGTGACTGAAGATCTGATTCGCATTACTTCGGTGTTAGTAGTGTTAGCAGTATCACCGTGCTGATAATTAGATTAATTATAATTGGGTTATTAACCTATAGCAGTATTAGCTGTTTTTTCGAGCTTTTGATTGGTGATATCTTATCCACTTTCTACTTCCGTCCAACTGATAGTAAAAGCTTCGAAAAATTTTAGAAAAAATGATGTCTTTGTATATATATGGCATTGTGTTAGAATTATTGTTCGTTGTGCTTGATATTATTATTTGGCAACATTGTTAAATGTTTTCAACTGCGCAATATACCATTAAACCATCAACCCAACACAATTAACCATTCCTTCAGATATTCACGTCAGAAAAAGTGTTCCAGAAACGAACGAGTTATTGCATATGACCAAGAAAATTAACACCAGCTGAACAAAATTATCCAGTCTATGAACGCGAATTACTAGCTATCATTCATGCATTACGTATATGGAGATGTTACGTTGAAGATTCAAACAATTTTATAACTAAAGATCATTGTCATTCAAACGATATAAATAATGTGAAAAAAGTAGTAACAGAATGTCCTGATTGTCAAAACTATCGTTTAGACCGTCAACCACATGAACCATTAGAGCCACTATCAGCAAGTGGTCCGTTTGAAACATGGGGAATAGATTTTATTGGTCGATTACCTGTAACTACAAAAGGAAATAAATAGATAATATTAGCTATAGATCCTGCCACAAAATGGCCAGTTGCTAAAGCTCTTGCTGAAGCAACATCCGAAAATGTAGCTAAATTTATTTATGACGAAATATTAATGACATTTGGTTGCCCTATATCAATAATTAGCGATCGGGGAAAAGCATTTATGTCAAACACACTGAAAAAATATTTAGAATTACAATAAATACATCATTTACATACATCAGCATTTCATCCGAGAACAAATGGCACAATCGAACGTTTTAATGGTATGTTTATATCGATGCTTACAAAATATGTTAAAGGTGCCAGACACAAATGAGATGATTATATTCAACAAGCATTATTTGTATGTCGAGTTCGTACACATTCAATTACAAGAGGAACGCCATTCTATCTTGTGTATGGTAAAGAACCAACAATACCCGGTGATACACATCAACCATATATTTATGAGGAAAATAATAACGATGATTTAAATGAATATCGCGCTAGACAATTAGAAGAATTAGGTGATAGACGTTCAGCAGCTTAGATAAGATGTACTAATTCAACATGTCAAATGAAACAACAATACTCGATGATACTCGAATAAAAAGAAGACCATTAAAATTAAATGATTGGGTGTTATTAAGAAATGAAATTCATCATAAATTTCAAGCTAAAAAGCTAGGACCATATCAGATAAACAAGATATGGTCGTTCAATACATACCAATTGATAGATCTGTTTGATGTCATTAAGTTAGACTTAGTTCATGATGATCGTCTGAAACCATTCATATTACAATCCAACAGTGATCCAAAAGAACTTTGGAAAAGATACAACCGACACAAACGACAAATATAACAGACAGTAGAAATGCTGACGAGGGCGTCGATCTTCCTGGCCGGGGGAGGATGTTCTAAGTATAATTTGTTAATGTACATTTGTCTTTCGGCTAATAGTATAGATCTCCTCAGCCACAAAAAGAACTACGAAAAGAGAACAGCAAAAATAGTCAGTTTTTTTATCTGATTTGAACAAGTAAAGGCAGATTTTCTTTTGATCACTTTTCTTCTTTTTCCAATAAACAAAATGCACATTCTTGTTCAGGTTTCCATAAATAAGGACAGTCATGTCTTACTTTGCTGTAATAGCCACTGTGATGTGGGTAGAGCGCCGAGGTATCGCAAGTACATAGTTAGATATAGTTTAGAAAGTCGATTGGTATATAAAAAATCTAAATTTGATAAAGTTTTCATGTAGATACGTTGAGTTTAATGTCATTTCGTCGTAATTTTTGGAATTTCTCAGGAACGGTAGGAGATTTTAAACTTATTGTTTTATGCCATGTATAACTTCTGGATGTTGAAAGAGGATAAAAATTTCTGAGCAAACGAATATATATTGCAGGAATTATGAGGAAAGCAAAAGTGAAAATATCAGTGCGCAAATTGTGTGAAAATCGCATTTTTTTCCAGAAGATTGTTTTCCCTACGCTAACTGATAAAACTAGAGAAAATTTCTTTTTACCAAATCGTCTATCTGTTTGATTCTAGTCCGACCTTTTCAGCATAAACAGTTACTGAGATAAATCAACGTTTGTGTCAGTGCACAGACCGAAAAGTGTCTGTTATCACAGTATTTTTTGTATTTCATCGATAAAATTTCGTTTAATTTCAATGACAAATGCTTATTTGAATAGCCCAAGAATTCTGCTACGAATTTAGTTAAAACTTCTTCTGCTTTTATTTAATTTGATTGGAAAAAAAACGAGCTTTTACTGACGGACCACCTGAAAAAATATCAGTTTTAGACATTGTTTGATGAACATCACGGATCTCTTAAGTAACAGAGAGCGTGTTTGTTTAGAAAAAATGCTAACTGAAAGGAGGAGGAAACAGGATTCAGGTACCACATCATCATGTAACACGATTTCGACATAATCCAGGCACAGTAGCTGATATTTTTCTGATTGTCTTTCATTTTAGCAAAATCGAAAAACAACAGTAATAGCGTACCATCAAAATATTAATTTTTCCATTCATTCATGTTATAAATATTCATATTTCAGTAGTTCCATGTTTTTGATATGATGATTTTTCATAATAAATGGATCGTTCGTCAGAGCTTTCGAGAAAAGCTACGATTTCACTCCTTTGCCATCACTGTAAATTTTTAAAACTAATGTATACGGATTCAGCATCAAAATTAAGTATAGCCAAGTAAGTTTGAGCATCTTTCAACGTCCTTGTTGCTCGCGCTATAACGGACTAGTCAATCCAGTCGCTACGGCATACCTTTCTCTGCCAGACCTATGTAGTCTTTTGTTTGAAAAGCTTTCCCCAACTATCATACCCCATTCGACGGCGAACAAAGTTACCTATCCCTTTCGAAAATTTTTGCTTCCTCGCTGAGAAAAATCATTTCTTCCAAATCAGGGGCGAAAAGTCGGAATTCTGCTCGTATCCTCAATTTTCTCCGATACAACTCAACTTTTGGGCTATAAAAATATCATATTCGGAGTCAGAATAAAAAAATGAGTCGACTGATGTGTATGTCTATCCTACCGGACTACTTTCATTTTTTGAATTTTTGCGTTGAAAAATTACCGAGGTTTTCACCCAAAACTGAAAATCAAGTAAAGATTTCGGAGTACATATCAGTCGACTCATTTTTTGAACCATACGTCAACGTGAACTACGTTGATTTGATACGAATACGATATTTTTATTGCTCAAAAGCTGACTCCACATCATTTTCATCCAACGTAGTTGAGATGAATGCTTCGACCACTAGAATCAAGCCTAGAGCTCGCTAATAGTCATTTTCTGATTCCCCATGTCTGATTACCTACACCATATCATTGTCATCCATTCAAGTCATAGTTGTTTTTCGGATTGCGCATAGTCGACTATCCACTCCACACCATTTTGATAACTTAACGTAACTTTGATACAAGGTAGTGTTAATTCTGTTGATAATATGATAAGGAAATCATACCTAACTTTAATTTCGTTTTCCTCGTAGAATTTTATTTTATTTTATAAATTTATTTACAACTGCTAAACGTTTCGAAGGCTAAACCGACTCCTTCTTCATTGGTACAAATTATATGTGAATAACAAGTAATTACGAAAAGAACACACTATCTACTAGAGCTCATTAAAAATGTGCGCGAAGGATGTTCAACAACTGAAGATAGTGATGTTTAAAGAATGATGTTTGGAAATTACACTTATTGAAATGCAGAAATCAGGATATGACATACGTCTTTTGGCTATCGACTGATATTATTTGAGATTGGATGCCATAGTGTGGTTTGGGAATGGTACGCCATGGTAATCGTGATCGGGCGCCCTGTTTTTCATAGATTTACGTGCCGCGTGTCCTCTTTCGGCTGGCGAAAACCACAGGTCTCTAGCTATCTCCTACCGAAAGTTATAAGCATTTTGCCCACCCCTGTCGTGTTTTGAAACAGGTAATAATGTTTTTATTTGACCTTCACTTGTATGATTTCCTTATCATATTATCAACAGAATAAGAATAAACGATATTCAAGAAGAACTAAAAAAGCTATCTTAAAGAAGGTAGTGGTAATAGTTTTCTTCGTTTTAATAAAGCCGTAGCATATCCACATTTGAGTAAACTGCCTCAAAAGTCCTATGCGTTCCGTGCTTTTTCACAATCAGATTTCGATCATAGATTATTTCGATCACATCGTAATAGTATGACCAAGAATATTCTTTCGAAATTAACATTATCGAATTTTTTTTTGCTTCATTATAATGAAGTTTTTTTTCCATACTATCATGAAGGAAAACATGACCGTTATACGGACAAATTAAAAACCAGGAAGGAAAAAGAACAAACAGATTTCGACTCGGAGTTGAAGCGGAGTTGGAGTTAGAGTTTAGATTCCCAGGGCTCAGCTTCAATTCTGCTACATTTACGGTCTGAGAATCCAGTTTCAGGATCTCTTAAGGCCTAAATCATGATTTTTGGTCAAAACATCAATGTTTAGATAATTATGTGGGCAGATAGCCCTAAGTGTCTACTTTCAGAATAGATACGAGTCGACCCTATAATGATGCTTTTTGAGCGTGTGTTCAAAGGCTTTCTAGAGCCTTATATAGTATCTCTAAGGAAAACAAGACCAGCGGTTGCTTTCTGAATAACTCTTGATAAAAAAGAGCTAGAGAGCTGCGATTTTCACCATTCGAAAGAGAAAACTTGGACGCATGTTTTCCTAACCAAAATCTTTTCAAGAACAGTTTTGTGAAATGGTGTATCAAGAAGATCCTTGAAAAACTCGATCGAGCGTAAAAATTTCCTGATAAGTTTGTATTGCTTTTATTTCATGGACTAATAGCCTGAGATGTCGTCTTTAGAATGGGAGAAAAGTGAGACCTTGAGTTTCCGTGGATCGGGCCTTATCTCGAACTTCCTACGAGTCTCAGATTGGCTTGCTGCAACTGTTATTAGGCATAAAGACACATGGACTATGGGCAATCGACCATGCTGAGTCTCGTGGCAATATTTGTTTTTAGAAAAATAATTGAAAATCTAGCGAAAAGTGAGTTTTACGAAAATTAGAATTTCCGGACTGTTTGCATCTAATATTAAAGAATTCACTATTCACGCAAAAGCATCAGAATGAATTCAAAACTTTACAATGTAGAGTATTTAGGCTATCCTAAATCAGATTTATAGGAGATGTCGGGAGAAATTTTAACAAACCCTAAGGTTTTCCTAAAGAGCTTCTGGAAAACCTACTAACAGAAAGGTGCTTTTTCGATTTTTTTGATCTTACAATCAGGTTTGACGGGCAACATTAATCATATCCTGAAGTTTTGAACTCGTTCTGGTGTTGTTTGAGTGAATAGTGAATTCTTTTATACTAGATTAAAACAGCATGGAAATTCTAATTTTCGTAAACTCACTTTTCGCTAGATTTTGAAATTTTTTTCTAATCGAGCCAACAGTATCAGATTAAAATTGGAAATTGGGTGTAATTTACTCAGGACCTATGCCACGCTCTATATTAAAAAGATCTACGTCAGTCAGTATTATTGATCTAAATCCATTAATAGACATCTGTTC